GAATGTAAGTGCTCTCATTGCTGCAGCTCCAAAGAGTTGAAATCGTTCTTAGAACAAAATGTAAGAACGTTAGGCAACTCCCTTGGTCATTTATAAGTATGGCCAGACCAGTCTTATCTTTGATTGCTTCCCTTCCCCCACTACAGTGGAGAAATCCTTGTGGCTCTGGAATTTTCCTCTCAGTATTTGTTAAATGCTAAAGCAGCCAAGACTCCCACTGTCCAACTCTGCAGCAGATAGCCTGAAAGGACCCCTTTTGAGAAGCCAGATGTTTAGAAATAGAAACTGTAAGGGTAAAGAACTGTTGCATTTACCGGGAGGCATGTCCACCAAAAGGGAGACAGGCGTTTCCATTCAGGGAAAATAAAAAATTCTTTTGAGGTTGTCAGAAGGCCATGCTCAAACTGAAAGATCAGCATTGAAGATCTGACCATATTGGCAATTAGCATTGCTAATGAGGCTTCCAGAGAATCACAGATTATTTTAATCTACTTAACCTTCTCTATAAATACTCCACTTAGAAAACACTCTCCTTCTATTTTTAATAGTCTAATAATGGCTGAGTGTTATTTTTTAAGGCAGAAGCAACCATGTTAATAATATCAATTTTCAAACAAGGACCATCAAATAATGGCATATTTATTTTTTGTCAGTTCTGAATTTAGGATGGAGATAGGTACGCAACTGTCTGAACTGTCCGAATAATTGAGAGATAAAGACAGTCTGAGTGGCTAGCTGACAGGACTATTTGTCCTCTCCTGAATACTCTGTGGGGGACTTTTCTAATATCAGTTCCCCCATGGGCCTAGGGGAATATTTGGAACTCTGGGAGCCTAAGCATTTAAGAAAAACTGATGGGGGGTGGGTGTTGGGAACATGGCCTAGTGGTAGAGTGCTTGCCTAGCATGCATGAAGCCCTAGGTATAATTCCTCAGTACCACATAAACAGAAAGAGCCAGAAGTGGCACTGTGGCTCAAGTGGTAGAGTGCTAGCCTTCAGCAAAAGGAGCTCAGGGACAGCTCCCAGGCCCAGAGTTTAAGCCCCAGGACTGGAGAAAGAAAGAAAGAAAGAAAGAAAGAAAGGAAGGAAGGAAGGAAGGAAGGAAGGAAGGAAGGAAGGAAGGAAGGGAAGGAAGGAAGGAAGGAAGGAAGGAAGGAAGGAAGGAAGGGAAGGAAGGAAGGAAGAGAGAGAGAGAGAGAGAAAGAAAGAAAAAACAAACACTGATGGGTATGATTCACAAAAGGAGCCTTCCTCCATCTTGATGTGGTCTAACAATAGGACACTGAAGTTTTCCCTGCAGGAGTAGGCAAAAGCAGTCTGTACCCATGAATAAGAGTAGATGAGTTGGCTGTGTTCATCTATCCTGTGTTACATGGAGAGGCTCCTTTCATGAGCTTACCATTCTCTACTACCTTCCCAAGTGTAGCTTGTTCTCAGGTTGCTTTGTTGATTCAATCTTTCATTTATTTATCCATCAAACATCTGTTTAGAACCTACTACGTGCCCAATATTCTCATACACAAGATGTGCTCCTAAATGCTTCCTGCCTTTGCAGATATTATCTCTTAGAAAGGAAGAAAATAAATCAGGAAAGAAAAAGTCAAAAGCATCATCAGATAATACAAAGTTGAAAAAGATAAACAAAAAAAGAAGTAACCACAACACACAGTGAGGCATGCAAGCACATGTGTGCGCACACACACATACACAGATGCATGTGCACACGCGCACACACACACACACACACACGCGCAGAGCATAATATAAAAGGAAGAACGGATTGAGCTGAGCACTGGAGGCTCATGCCTGTACTGCTATCTACTTGGGAGGTTGAACTCAGAAGCACTATGGTTTGAGGATGGTTTAGGTAAAACAGTTATTGAGACCCCCCTTCTTTCCCCACACTTTACAGATCACAACTGAGTGCAATGGAGATTGGGAAAACTGTTATTTCAAGCCAAGCCATCCCCCCTCCCCCAAAAATGTGAGACTCCATCTCAACAAAGGGAAACTGGACACGGTGGCTTACACCATCATCTCAGAAATGGAAGGAAGCCTAAAAGTTGGATCATGGTCCAGGTGTGTACCTGGAGGCATGGCTCAAGTGGTTGAGCAATCTTCTAGAAAGAATGAGGCCCTGAGTTCAAATGTCAGTAATGACCAAAATGGGGAGGGAGAGGACTCTCTCAACAATAAAAAAAAGTAAAACTTAAAGATTGAATGGCAGAGAGGCAATAGGAAAAGATCAGAGGGAAGATCATTCCAGACAAGAAAAAAGTAAATTCAAAGGCACAAAAGGTCAAGGTAGTTGAAGTGGGGAAGGAAAGAGGTAGTATTATTACAAGCAGAAAGGTAAGTGGACCCACATCATAAGGCAGAGAAAAGGAGTCAGGTTTTCCTTCAAACCTCCTGGAAAATGACTAGAATATTTCCTTCTGCTCTGATAGAATCTGATTTACACTGTAAAGGGCTCTCTGTAGATAAAGCCTACAGAGCAATTTTCAGGAGACAGAGTAGAAGTGGGGAGACCTCCTAGAAATCCATTGTGGTAAGAAGTCAGTTGGCAACAGATAATACAAGAACAGAACATGAACGCTAACCTAACCAGAAGATGACACACGGTTAGCATAGAACTTCATCTGATTGAAGTTGACCCCAGGAAGCCCTTTGGAGATCATTGCACTGGAAATCATGCAATGTAAACAGGAGAAAAACTAAAACGTAATTGATTTCAGAGACATACCCAGCGGGCAGAGAGCATACTGTTAGTGAATTCAAAGCTGAGCCTTACACCTCCTTCCTTCTCAGGTGTGTTACCATGCTCAGGGCTACACAGAACCCAGCAGGGCCTGCTTGTAGATTCAGGGCCTGCGCATTGGCCTACAGGCTGAATCCTATACCATGTTCCCATCTTTGCAGTGTGAATCTATGTGGGGTCAATTGGGGACTTACCCATGCATCCATCCACACATCCCTGTGTGGTAGAGTTATTCCCAATACACAGAATAAGTGAAAGTATAAGCACAATTGTGTGGCCGCTAGAATTGAGTGGTTACCAACTGGATTACAGCAGCTGGCTAGGTTTAAATCTTAGCTTTGCCAATTATTGACTATGTGCTTCCAGAGAAGCCATTTAACTCTTTGGGTCTTGATTTCCTTGTCAACTAGATAAAAATCTTTGAAGCTGATGAGAATGACTGTCCACATTGAAGAACTATAACTATGGAGGCCCTGTGAACAGCAACCTCCTAAACTCCGTCTGTTGCTTGGCAGAAGCTATGTGTGGCTTTTTGCACGGGGACATGAGTCTGCTTCTTGACTCATTTATTCCACAATTGCTTACTGAGTGCTGACTTAAATATCTGCTGGTCTCAGGCTCTCAGCCTTTTTTCCATTTCACTTGTATTCACTTGCTTAATTTGTTCCCCTGAGTAATTTCCCTTCTTACAATGTAGTGAGATTGCAATAAGCAGGTGTTGAGAGCAAGGGATCTATCCGAATTTCAGAGGTCCCTGAGTACCTGCAGGTAAAGTCTCAACTACCCCTGAAGATTTACGCATAGGAACAATTAGGTGGTTGGAGGAGAAGGAGAAAGGAAGCTCTGGTCCCTGAGCCAAGTTGATATGTGTGTAGGGTAGGTTTGAAAGCACTATCTGGATTATTTTTTCATTTCTTCCTCTTCAGATCGTAAGGTGTTAGTGAGCCCATTTTTCAGAGTACAAACTGAGGCTCAGAGAACTTAAGGACTATCACATTTACAGTGAGTCGAAGACCAAGATTAGACCTCAAGTTGCTTTCACTCCTCATCACCTTTGGTTTTGTTGGTTTGATTGTTGGTTTGGTTCCATACCTTCCCCTCCCCCATTCCTTCTGTATATAGGAAGGGAGAAAGGGAGACAGAAGGAAATGATAGTAACTGTTACCTTATGGAGGAGAAACAGAGAAAGGGAGACATTGGGAGGGGGTCCGAGTAAGACTTGGAATAGATTCCTGACTAACCATCACCTGTGTGAGTTTCTATTGGTCCATCCCCAGACACTTTTCTGTTCTAGGTTGGGGTTGGGTGGGAGGTGGTTGGAGAGGCTATATTGGGCCAGAGAAGGGACAGCGTTCAGGTTTCTCCTCCCCGGGCTGAGGTGGAAGCCACCAGGAGAAACCATCTTCATGACACCACCACCTGTGGAAGCTTTTCCATGAATGTGGGGCTATCCTCCCAATTCCCCCCAACCCAAAACCTACCTTCCTTCAGGGTGCCATGATTTTAGCCCCTTGAAGAAGCCAAGCTTAACTCTTTTCTGCCATTGAAACAAAAAAGGACTCAAGTCAAATCTAAGCCTTGGAAGCCAGCCTTTTTAATTTCGAGATTATGCAGCAAGCTTTAAATAACACTGGCCGTGATGAATGAGCACCCAAGTTGTAATTTGTCCCTTCTACAGTTGCCAGAGCCTGAAAAGCCTGTCTTCTAGTACCATCACCTTAATCATTATTTATGGACAGAGTATGAATTTGCCAACTGGGGATCATGCATAATACCCATGTATTTCCATAAAAACAAGGGAAATTTTTTTTTAAGAAGCATCATAACATTTACCTAATCTATGCAAATCTATTAACAAAGACTTTGTGAAAACCCACTGCTTCACGCCCCCTCCCCCTCCTTACACCCTTAGTAGGCAAAAATCCTTGCTCCTTTTTTAATTTCCCAGTTTGTTTTTAAGTGCTGTGGTTGAGGGAGGAGGAGGGCTCTAGGAGTAAAAGGGGAGATAGTGCTTCTGCTCGTGATGCAGTGTGTTTGTGCAACGCAGTCTAGCACTTCCAGTTGTGAGCAAAGAGCCAAGTGTGGTAGTAGTCACCTCCCCACAAAGCAGGCAGCATTTCACTAGAGGGAAGTGTCGGCTGTGGGCTGTCACTGTCTACTAATATGACTGGTTTGCCATCTCTCCGCAAATAAGGCAGAAGCTGCCACCTGATTGGTATAACATCTCACTTTCCCTCCGCATTGATTTTCTTGTTCTCCTCCTGTGCTTCATAAAAAGAGGGAGAACTGGCTGGTGCTGTGGACAGAAGAGCTTTATTTTTAGTATGAGACAACCTCTATTTTCTTTCAGGAGAGGGAAGTTGGATTATCAATTCTTTTGTAAATGTGTATGGTGATATTTGCTCCGGTAAGTTTATTTCTCTCTCTCTCTCTCTCTCTCTCTCTCTCTCTCTCTCCATTGATTTATAGCTTGGCTATGTGTGTATGTGTGTGTACACACATGTGTTTGCACAGGTCCATTTGTATGGTTCACTTTTCTTTCCAAAAAGATTTGATTTTTGCAATCTTGGTTGATAATATCCTTTTGTTTTACTTTGCTTTCTCTTATTCTTGTATTTAAACAAAAAAAACCCAGCTGGGTTCTGTAATTGTGTGATAACTTACATCCACTGTGGAAGTATATGCTGGGATTCTTTTTAACAGGATAAGAAAACTAAACATACCTCCACATTTGGTTTTTTTAAAAATGTAATATTCTACTCTTAACCTTCCGTGAGAGAGTTTAATGTCTTAGTGAAATCATTGTTCTCTATCTTGCTTACATTTTAATTAAAGTTTCTTCATCAGTATCACAGTAGGACTGTCTTAAACTCAATTAATAGCTACCAAATATAGTGTGCTAATTTCATAAGATCTTATACCAATAGAAAATGAATGAGAGTCCCAGATGATCCAGTGATATACTTTTTAAGGCAATGAATTTCTATATAAAAAGTATTCAGACTGTTCAAGTAAATCTCACATTCCACGAAATACTCAATGCCAAGTTATCGTTGCTTTCTTCTGCCTTTCTTTGCATGTGTATTTGTACCACCATCTGCCAAATGCCCGGCCCTGGTTCTGATACTTTCCCTATCTGTAGCTAATCAGGAGAAAAGTTGCTATTATTAAATTTCAACAAAGGCAAAATAACTGGTCACCTCTGCTAGTAATGATTTCTAAATGCATGAGCTGGTTAAATGCATATTTTTTAATTCAGCATGTGAATGTTTTGTTGTTAATTCAGAAGTCTAGGAGAAAGTCTGTTAATATAATGATGATGCAGGGCAGATGATAAGATGATTAATTGTGCTAATGGAAACAAAACTGATGTTTTAATCTTCCTATTTGTGTGTGTGTGTGTGTGTGTGTGTGTGTGTGTGTGTGTGTGTGTGTGTGACACAATCAACAAATCTGCCTGGTCTGTTTTCCAGTGAAATGAACTACAGCATGTATTTCTAATGCAAGTGAAAGGCACTTTTGAATATGAAGCAAGAGAAAGTCTGATAATTTTTCTGAAATTTTGAAAGTAAAGTTAGGAATTTCTCACATACCTAGAACCCTGAGGCATAAATTCTTCTGAGACATGAATTTTGAAAAATAGCATTTTTTGGTCTGATGTTGGCATGGTTTTAGGGTAGCTCTGTGGACACAGTTGAGGTGTGTCTGGGAATATGCTGACCTTCTTGCTCTCTGCCTTTTGAGCATTCTATCATGCACATACCCTTTGCACTCTGAAATGAAGGCTAACAAACATTGAATTTTGAGGCTCCGCCTTAAAACTAGATCAGTCCTTCAAACCCACTTGAAGTTTTATATACTGTCTTATTACTGATCCCAGTAAGGTCTACATAATGAAGCCTTGGATATCACAAACCCTAAGCTAGGACCAAGTGATCCTTTGCCAATGTTTTGACAAAAAAAATAACTGGAACTTTTATTTTTGAGCTACTGCTAAGTGAACTCATCAGCATCCCTCCCCAAAATGCACACATCCAACCTCTCCATCTCCCCTGAATATTTTTCAAAATTGTAACAGGTTGTATAGCAAACTGTTGGCTATAAAGAAAGTTAGCATCACCTGAAGCTATTCAGATACTAATAAATGAACTTTAAGGAGTCAGCATCCTGATAATATTTGTGATTTCCTACAACCTGCCTGCTTAAAGGCCAGTTAGGGCTTCCAAGCATGGCCAGACACACTGACATAGGAAAGACAACAGGATATCTGTTCCTTAAAGAAGTCAGATTCTTTATATTGAGTTACATCATCAGATGTACCACTCCTGAAAGAAAAGTCCAGAAAAATCTGTGGTAATCTCTTCTGAGGAATAAAAAGAATCTGTGCTACCTTTGGGAAATAATCAAGGCATTAGAATATTTTTCCTGATAAGATCATCTCTTTCTTTGCAAAATGAGGTATGCAATAGTTGGCCCCACTTCTTCGATGTCCTGTTGCATGCCTGGTACTGTGCTAAGCATTTTGCCGGGCTCTTCTCCTTCATTCTTCACCACCACTCAGTGAGGGAGAGAGCATTGCCCTCCCCAACTTCCAGATGAGAAAATGGACAAGTGTCCAGTTTGCATGAGGCACCACTATGATGCTAATGAAATTAAGGCTCCTCATGTCTCCCTTTCCTGGGTTTCAGATGGGAATGATTTACAGGGATTTAACAAGATATACCCTATTTTCATTTGTACTTGCCCTTTTCCTGACACCGTATAACCTCTTCTTCTCACACTGTGCCTTTGTAACTCCAAGCTAATGATGTGTTTTACTCACTTTGTGCAGTAACCAGGATGTGGATGTAACAAAGTAAACCAGCATAGGGCAGGAGTATATAGAGAAGCCGCTCAATTAAGGAAGCACTTTAATTGACCAAAATAAATCCAGCCCTTTGAAATCTTCAATTGTTTTCATATCAAGTCAAAGATGCCATCATAGCTTAGAAATATCCATCTCTCAAGTTGTCTGGTTTGTTGTAGATGCAAAATACAGAAAAGCAATTCTAACTGAACTTTACAGAAAGTTCACCTTTTGATTCACCTCCACCATGAGTTTCTTCTTCTTCTTTGGGTAGCTGAAAAAGGCTGAGGTGACACTTCAGGTATAACATTGCAAAGCAATTTTACCATCCAGGTAATTAGAACATGAACACAGCTGCCGATAAGGGAGCTGTGAAGCGTGGTACAATAGAAATCTCCAGTCACATTCCTTTGTACCTGAGCACTGATCACCCCATTTGAAATCCATTTAAGCCAATAAAATTCAGGTGAATTTTATAGGGGAAAATGCCACTAACATGGAATCAATATGTTTGCAGTTTCAATTTTTCTTCAAGCAGCAGTTTTAAGACTGTAGGCAGGGCAAAGCAGCCATGACTACAATCTGCAAAGTGCTGCATTTCCTTCCTTCCCTCGAGAGGAAAATTATGAGAGAGGATTATGAGTAATAATGTTGCTGGAAGATATTCCTCAGGACATGCTTGCTATATTTTATCAAAAACTAGACGTGTTTCCAAACAAATAAGCAAGCAAACAAACAAACAAAAAAACCCACCCACCACAAATTGGAAATAACAAGAGTCCGGCTTTGAAGCGGCCATCACAATATTGACTTCTTGATGTACTCTTCTGTGACTGATAAACAATAATTTTGACCTACTGCCTGTGAAGGCACCTAGTTGATTGAAGAGTTCAGAGCTCAATACACGTGAGATCTAAGTTTCCAAACTGATAGTCAATTGTATGATAGGCAACCTGGGTAACTCACTCATTACCTATAATCCTTATTCTTGACAAATATCACAATTGGGTGGTTTAATCAGAAAGTGTAGTATTAATGCCAGTACTGAAAATGAAATTTAAACTCACTTTCTTTTTTCAAGAGTATAAGGATTCTAAATAGTCTGAAAACCACTGAATGAGACTTTTTGCTTTCATGAAATATGTTGCACTCATCCAATAGAGACCATCCTTTAAATTAATCTTTAGTGAACAGTTTTGCAGAGCATAGCATTTTTCAAGTGTGCCTTCCTCAGAGAAGTAAGAAATCCCAAATAAATACCAATATGATGTGTAGCCATCAGGCCTGTATTTTCTTCTGCCCTTTCTCTGGGTATGGATAGGGGTATTTAGACATATTGATCATCAAATGCTTTAAAAAATTTTAATCACCTATTAAATATGGAGAAAGGTGCTGGCATAAAACTGTGAGTGTTGTACTAGTCTTGAATTTGCAATCAGTGCAAACAGAGTTGGTGGTCTCGTTATAAAGTCATCTAAGAACATGGAATTTCTGGACCTTTTGACTCTGGAATCAGCACATGAAGTACTAACTTCTCTAGGAGAGACGCTCAATCACTGGCATGTCTTTATATGTTAAAAGAAAAAGGGTGAGTTCAACGTAGAAACATCTCATTCTCTCCCTTATGCAGTCTAATGGGCCTGCATAATTAATGGATTTTACTGTGGTGATGTTTTTTAAACACAGATTCTAGCCAAAAGTACTAATGGAAATTTGTATAGAGGTAACTCCAAACACATTCTATCAGAGTTTCTGGAAAGCTTGTTTTTATTCCAGGGCAGTCCATTGCTATGGAGCCTTAGTTTGGTCAGTGTTAAGTAGATCATCTCATGTTAGGGCTCTTTGTGGGAAACAGAGTATTGGGGTAAGGGATTTTAGTGGACGTCCCATGTGATTTTCTCAGCCATGTTTATACACTCCTTGAATCTTCCCAAATTACTACATGTTGTCATAGCATAGACTTTCTGACAAAGATAAAACAAATACTTTAAGCTTGGCTTTCTATCTGGTCAAATATAGCTTGTAGAATATTTGTGAGCCAGGCACCTTGTAGGCTCACGCCTACAAGGAAGCTGAGATCTAAGGATCTCAGTTCAAAATCAGCCTAGGCAGAGAAGTCTGCTAGAATATCTCCAATTAATGAGCAAAAAAAAAAAAAAAAAAACTGAATTGGAGGTGTGCCTCAAGTGGTAGAGTGCCAGCTACAAACAGAAAAAGTTGAGTGATGGCCCAAGGCCCTGAGCTCTTGAGTTCAAGCCTAGGATGGAGCACTCCAGGAAGGAACTAAGTGCTGTGATCTTCTCACCTAAGCCTAGTCTTAATTCTACAGCCCAGAATGTGTCTTCTTACAGGTATCATGGAACTGTTGCATTAAGACATCTCAGGAAATACATGTTCTTGGTCTTGTCTGCTCATGTTCAGTGGAAGAACAAGGCAGAATCCACTTATGTACTGATGTGATTACTCTCTGCTGAAATGGAGTCATTTGAAGTAGAGGGAAGAGCTTCAGTGCTTGTGTCCTGTAAGCATTGCATGTCACTCTTAGACATGCTCAGATTTGA